ATGTCCAGGGGCTCGTTCCGCAGCACCCAGAGCACGGCCGGAGGGGTTTGGGTGGGATTTGGGTGGGTTATTTCAGGGTGGGTTATTTTGGGGAGGGGTCAGTTAATTTGGGGAGGGGTCTCAGAGGGGGGTCAGTGAATTTGGGAAGGGGTCCCAGATGTAATTGGTTAATTTGGGGAAGGGTCTCACCATGTCCAGGGGCTCGTTCTGCAGCACCCAGAGCACGGCCGGGGGGGTTTGGGTGGGATTTGGGTGGATTTGAATGAGTTTGGATGGGTTATTTGGGCTGGGTTAATTTGGGGAGGGGTCTCAGATGTGATCAGTTAATTTGGGGAGGGGTCTCACCATGTCCAGGGGCTCGTTCCGTAGCACCCAGAGCACGGCCAGCACCATGGCCGAGGTGTTGATGGCCGGCAGCGCCGCCAGGAATTCCCGCTCGGACAGCGCGGCCTTGGAGCGCGGCGGCGGCTCCCGCATGGCGGCGGGGGCGTTCGGGGGGAACGCCGACAGCTCAAACTGAGACCCCAGACCCACATTAGAGACCCCAGACCCAAATCACAGACCCCAGACCCCAAACTGAGACCCCAGACCCAAATTAGAGACCCCAGACCCAAATCACAGACCCCAGACCCAAATCAGAGACTGAACTGAGACCCCAGACCCAAATCACAGACCCCAGACCCCAAATCAGAGACCCCAGACCCCAAACTGAGACCCCAGACCCAAATGAGCCCCCCCCGAGACCCCAAATGTTTGAGAGACCCCAAAGTTCAGGAACCGACCCCAAATGTGAGACCCCCAAATGTGGAACTGTGGGGGCAGGGCAGGGGCAGGGGTCACCTGTCACTGAGGGGTCACTGTGGGGTCACTGAGGGGTCACTGTGGGGTCACTGAGGGGTCACTGTGGGGTCACTGAGGGGTCAGAGGTCACTGTGGGGTCACTGTGGGGTCAGAGGTCACTGAGGGGTCACTGTGGGGTCACTGAGGGGTCACCATGAGGTCAGGGGTCACTGTGGGGTCACCATGAGCTCAGGGGTCACGGTGACACTCACCTGGCCGCTGTTGGTGGCCGCGTGGTGAGCAGAGCAGGTGTAAATCACCGTGGTGACAAAGGTGACCAGGCCACGGCGAGAGTCCAGCCGGGACGGGACCCCTGGGACACCCACAGGGGTCACCCAGGGGTCACCCAGGGGTCATTGGGGTCACGGCGGTCACCCAGGGGCCATCCAGGGGTCACCCAGAGATCAACAGGGGTCACCTGAGGTGTCACCTGTCCCCACCTGTCCCCACCTGTCCCACCTGTGCTCACCTGAGGTGTCACCTGTCCCACCTGTGCTCACCTGTCACCTGTCCCACCTGTGCTCACCTGAGGTGTCACCTGTCCCCCCTGTCCTGAGCGCC